ATTTTTTTAAAGCATATTTTTGAGGACTAAAACAGGCGTGGATTTTTTTAAAGCATATTTTTGAGGACTAAAACAGGCGTGGATTTTTTTAAAGCATATTTTTGAGGACTAAAACAGGCGTGGATTTTTTAAAGCATATTTTTGAGGACTAAAACAGGCGTGGATTTTTTTAAAGCATATTTTTGAGGACTAAAACAGGCGTGGATTTTTTTAAAGCATATTTTTGAGGACTAAAACAGGCGTGGATTTTTTTAAAACATATTTTTGAGGACTAAAACAGGCGTGGATTTTTTTAAAGCATATATTTTTGAGGACTAAAACAGGCGTGGATTTTTTTAAAGCATATTTTTGAGGACTAAAACAGGCGTGGATTTTTTTAAAGCATATTTTTGAGGACTAAAACAGGCGTGGATTTTTTTAAAGCATATTTTTGAGGACTAAAACAGGCGTGGATTTTTTTAAAGCATATTTTTTGAGGACTAAAACAGGCGTGGATTTTTTTAAAGCATATTTTTGAGGACTAAAACAGGCGTGGATTTTTTTAAAGCATATTTTTGAGGACTAAAACAGGCGTGGATTTTTTTAAAGCATATTTTTGAGGACTAAAAGAGGCGTGGATTTTTTTAAAGCATATTTTTGAGGACTAAAAGAGGCGTGGATTTTTTTAAAGCATATTTTTGAGGACTAAAACAGGCGTGGATTTTTTTAAAGCATATTTTTGAGGACTAAAACAGGCGTGGATTTTTTAAAGCATATTTTTGAGGACTAAAAGAGGCGTGGATTTTTTTAAAGCATATTTTTGAGGACTAAAAGAGGCGTGGATTTTTTTAAAGCATATTTTTGAGGACTAAAACAGGCGTGGATTTTTTAAAGCATATTTTTGAGGACTAAAACAGGCGTGGATTTTTTTAAAGCATATTTTTGAGGACTAAAACAGGCGTGGATTTTTTTAAAGCATATTTTTGAGGACTAAAAGAGGCGTGGATTTTTTTAAAGCATATTTTTGAGGACTAAAAGAGGCGTGGATTTTTTTAAAGCATATTTTTGAGGACTAAAAGAGGCGTGGATTTTTTTAAAGCATATTTTTGAGGACTAAAAGAGGCGTGGATTTTTTTAAAGCATATTTTTGAGGACTAAAAGAGGCGTGGATTTTTTTAAAGCATATTTTTGAGGACTAAAAGAGGCGTGGATTTTTTTAAAGCATATTTTTGAGGACTAAAAGAGGCGTGGATTTTTTTAAAGCATATTTTTGAGGACTAAAAGAGGCGTGGATTTTTTTAAAGCATATTTTTGAGGACTAAAAGAGGCGTGGATTTTTTTAAAGCATATTTTTGAGGACTAAAAGAGGCGTGGATTTTTTTAAAGCATATTTTTGAGGACTAAAAGAGGCGTGGATTTTTTTAAAGCATATTTTTGAGGACTAAAAGAGGCGTGGATTTTTTTAAAGCATATTTTTGAGGACTAAAAGAGGCGTGGATTTTTTTAAAGCATATTTTTGAGGACTAAAAGAGGCGTGGATTTTTTTAAAGCATATTTTTGAGGACTAAAAGAGGCGTGGATTTTTTTAAAGCATATTTTTGAGGACTAAAAGAGGCGTGGATTTTTTTAAAGCATATTTTTGAGGACTAAAAAAGCATAGGCGTGGATTTTTTTAAAGCATATTTTTGAGGACTAAAAGAGGCGTGGATTTTTTTAAAGCATATTTTTGAGGACTAAAAGAGGCGTGGATTTTTTTAAAGCATATTTTTGAGGACTAAAAGAGGCGTGGATTTTTTTAAAGCATATTTTTGAGGACTAAAAGAGGCGTGGATTTTTTAAAGCATATTTTTGAGGACTAAAAGAGGCGTGGATTTTTTTAAAGCATATTTTTGAGGACTAAAAGAGGCGTGGATTTTTTTAAAGCATATTTTTGAGGACTAAAAGAGGCGTGGATTTTTTTAAAGCATATTTTTGAGGACTAAAAGAGGCGTGGATTTTTTTAAAGCATATTTTTGAGGACTAAAAGAGGCGTGGATTTTTTTAAAGCATATTTTTGAGGACTAAAAGAGGCGTAAATTTTTTTAAAGCATATTTTTGAGGACTAAAAGAGGCGTGGATTTTTTTAAAGCATATTTTTGAGGACTAAAAGAGGCGTGGATTTTTTTAAAGCATATTTTTGAGGACTAAAAGAGGCGTGGATTTTTTTAAAGCATATTTTTGAGGACTAAAAGCGGCGTGGATTTTTTTAAAGCATATTTTTTCTTACGGGCTACTCTAAAACAGCTCGACTATTTTTAGCTCTTATAAAAATTATAACCTTCAGCTCGCTTATAAAGATTATCTTCAGCTCCGTTCTAAAGACTCCCCAACAAATTTTGAAGAACACAAACTATTAATTTTTGTTATACATTTTTTATTTATTTTCAAAAAATTGAAAAAAAAAAACTTCTTAAAAAATATCTCCCTTTCAATAAATTTCACATTTCTTCTCCGGGTTCATTTTACTGCCCACCGGACAATTAAATTCCTTAGAGAATTCGACAAAATTCGACAGTGGACCTAAAACTCTAAATTTATCCGGAACATGTATATCGATAGCCATCATTGTTGAACGCAATTTCGAATAGAAATCGGAACACCATAAATAACCATAACTTGTAAAGAACAATTGACGATAATTGAATTCGCCCATACCGGGGAAATATTCCAAATTTCTCTCCATATCCTTGCTGTTGTCATACCAATTGAGATAGGCATTATAGGCCAAGCGGACACCACTGTTGTCGGCAATATTTTCATCTTGATTAGGCATTTCAGATAAGTGTTGGCCGGCATAAATGAAATACTTATATTGATGTATTAAACATTCGGAACGTTTTTTAAATTGTCTATCGGAATTCGAGTCCCACCATTTACGATTATTACCCAGAGCATCATAGGTACGACCATCACCATCAAAGCCATGAATGAGTTCATGGGATAGCAAGGCTCCAAGGACGCCAAAATTGAAGGCATTTGGAAAGGCGGCAGACCAGGCATAATTGGGTTGTAGCATAGCCACAGGAACCTTAATCGTGTTCTCTACATAAATATAGGCCGGGGTGGTAGATAACTGTTCGCCATAATCATTTTGTCGTGGAGTATCGCCGATATTGCTACGATCATAGATGGCATAGGACGAAAGCATCTTCTTTATGTTTCCCAAATAGTCCTCGCTATCAAATTCCAATGGTCCTAGGATTTCTGAGAAATTTGTATCCTTGAAGGAAACAATTTCCACTTGCATTTTCTTTAGCTTTTCCAAGGCATATTGCCGCGTCTCTTCCGATAACCAATCCAAATGGGGCGATTGTAGTTGTTTGTGAAAGGCCGCCTTGATGTGAGTAAACATCTCCTGGACCCCCTGCTCCGTTTCAAGGCTATTGTATTTGCGATAAACCATATTGTCGAAATTTTTATGGAAATATTTTTTCATACGTGTCAGACAGGTATCTTCCAGTTCTTTCTTGGTTTCGGGTATATCCATAATGAAGGCATTACTCAGGCGATAGAAAATGTAGTTGGCCAGGACTTTTTTCGGGGTGGTTTTCAAAACTTCCAACAGATTGTCCATGTAATCATCGTCGGTGTAAATTTTCAATGAAGGTAAAGTACCCA